GGAGATCCTGGACACAGTGGGAGAACAATGTGGAATGAAACTCAAAACCATTTAAAAAAAAAAGGGGGGGGGACCAGGTTTGCTGTCTGATAGAGCCTGGTGGAACCCCTGAGACGATAGGCCCTAGCTGCCCTTCAGGTCTGGAATTGAACCCACTCCTGTGGCTTCCAGCCAAACAAAGACAGGCATATGAGCTGAACATTTACATTCAGTAGATACACTCCTTGGAGAAATCAATCATGGGAGAATAGAAGGGCTGTGTATGCACAGCTCGGGGGCCAGGAGTGCATTGGGAGGGAAGGACACAAGGAAGAAATAGCTATGGGGAGGAAGTCGGAGGGGAGCTGTTGCAATGGAGGAGATTACAGTCAATGTCATGAGACAAAGTATATGTGAATTATTGTATGGAAGATTAATTTGTTATGTAAACTTTCATCCAAATCACAAAATTAAAAAAAAAAAAAAGCTTGCAAGCAGGCATCTAGATGCAACAGTTGGTTTCTCTTCATCCAGAGAAAAGAAAAATAAAGAAAATCAAAGACACATGGAAACAATTAGTCCAAGGGACTAGTGGACCATGCAAACCTCAGCCTATATGACCATGACACCAGAACTAGATGGTGCCCGGCTACCACTGTCAACCTCTCAGAAAGGAATCAGTGCAGGAGATCCTGGATAGAGTGAGAGAACAATGTGAAACAAAACTCATCAAAAACACCAGGTTTACTGGTCTGATAGAGCTTGATGAGACCCCCAAGACTATGGCCCCTAGTTACCCTTCAGTACTAGAATTGAACACTCTCCTGTGGCTTCCAGCCAAATAATAAACAAGCATATAAGGTGAACAGTTACATCAGGTAGATATACTCCATAGAAAGATCAATCATGGGAGAACAGAAGGGTATTTGCATAGGGAGATAGCTCAGGGGGCAAGAATACATAGGAAAGATGGACACAGGCGAGAGGTAACTACAGGGAGGAATAAGGAAGAGAGCTGTCACATTGTGGGGAATTATAGTCAATATCATGGAACAAAATGTGTATGAACTGCTGTAAGGAAAATGAATTTGCTCTGTAAAACTTTCACCCAAATCACAATAAAAATTGAAGGAAAAAAAAAAGGATGTAGAGAATTATCTTTATGGACTATGTTATGCCAATTGAACTAGACACCCCCAAGACTATGATCCTAAGCCCTCAGGCCCAGTAACTCTTTCCCTTAATATGTTTGGTTATGGCTAAGAAATTTGCATAACTTTTACCCCTGTATGCTTTACCATATACCTGAATATATTTTTAACACATACAAATATGTATGTAGAAATATCCTCTGGCAACATATATGTACTTGTGAGTATACTCCTGTATGTCATCCCATACCTGTTCAGCTTACATATCTACCTATGCATCCATTCATAAATTATTGTTTGTTATTATTGTTATTGCAGGATTATGTACGTAATAGTACTGTTGTTGCCTTTTACTCTTGTAACCTGCCAGTGTCTTTCTTGGCCTTGATCACATTCTTGTGTATTGCCTTTGCCTGCACCCAAGTTAATATATGTCTACTGTCTAGTTAGTGATTTTCCCTCCCTCCTTCTCCCACATGTAATAAACATCAAAAAATATTTCTTTCTGTGTATAAACCTTTTCTTGACTTTTATATTAGTGATTGTTTTGGTTACCTAGGGCTGCTCTGACAGGAATATACCACAAATGGGATGGCTTTAACAAACAGGAGTTTATTGTCTTTATTGTTTGGAGGCTTTAAGTCCAAGTTCAAAGTGCCAGGCTCTGAGGGCTGAGTGAAAGCCCCTCAGCCTTGGGCTTCAGCTCTGCCTCCTGCTCCCGGCCCACTGAAGCTGGAGGCTTTTCTTCACTCAGACAGCTATTGGCCGCTGAGACTGACAAGCCCAAGGTTGACAAGTAAAAGCGCACAGTCCTGATGTTACCAAACCACATGGCAGGCCATTAATTCAAGTCCGTTGGAAGTCCCAAGGTCAGCAGAGCATGGCAGTCTGCTGAACAATGACAAGGCTACATGCAGGGTTCAAGTGTGCCGTAAGTTGAGAACATTCCCCAAGACTTCTGCTTATATATAGGAAGCAGACCACATCCCTAAAGCAGCTACTCAGCTGCTTACAGTAGACTCCATCATGAAGTTGATTACCATTCTTATCATGGAGAATACTACATCCAGCTGCCCAGCTACCAGGCAAGTTGACATACAAACTTAACTACCACAGTGATCTTATACGATATTTGTCCTTTTGTGGTTGACTTGTTTCACCTAGGATGATGTCCTCCATGTTTATCCATGTTGTGAGACGTTTCAAAGATTTTCTAACATTGCATTATTCTCTAACATTGCATAGTATTTCCTATGTATATGTACCATAGTTTGTTTATCCATTCATCAGTGATGGGAGCTTAGGTTGTTTCTATCTTTTTGCTATTGTGAATAATATTGTGATGAATATGGGTGTACATCTATTTGTGTCATGGCTCTTATTTCTCTGGGATGTATAAGTGGGATTGCTGGATCATATGGTATCTCTATTTCCAAATTTTAAAGGAAGTGCCATACCATTTTCCACAGTGGTTGTACCATCTTACAGTTCTACCAGATGTGTATGAGAGCTCCATTCTCCCCACACCTGCACCAGAATTTGTTATTTTCTGTTTTTTTGTTTTTGTTTTTGTTTTTGTTTTTTTTAAATCATTGCTGTTAATGCTGGGTGAGATTATTGTTTTGATTCTTATCTCTCTAATGGTTAACTCCACCACTCCTCTGTCAGTATGCTGTACTATGGTGGCTTGCATGTTGCTGTGATGCTGGAAGCTATGCCACTGATATCTTTAATGATGTGAATGGAGTAAATCTTTGAGACCTTCATTTGCTAATGGGGCGTGATTCAAAATGAGAAGAAACAACTGCACGCATCCATTAATTATCGGAATGTACAAAGTATGAATCTAGGAAAATTGAAAGTTGTCAGAAATGAAATGTAATGCAGGAAGATTGATATCCTAGGCATTAGTGAACTAAAATGGACTGGTATTGGCCATTTTGAATCAGACAGTCATATGGTCAGTCTACTGGGAATGATAAATTAAGGAGCAATGGCATTGTACTCAGTGCCAAAAAGAATATTTCAAGATCTATCCTGAAGTACATGTTATCAGTGATAGGATAATATCCATGCACCTACAAGGAAGATCACTTTATACAACTATTATTCTAATTTTCTAGTCTGTGAGATAGTAGGTTTACTTTCAATTAACCTGGATTCCTAGGGCCTTCTTCTTTGTGATCCCAGTATAAATCAGAAGGGCCACATATTTAGCAGGGCCTGCACAATAAAAATTGTCATCCCTTGACTTCGTGAGACTATCAAAAGCCTACTCGGTCTCTCAATTGCCCTGTCCTGATTCAGCTAACATTCCTAGGGAAAAAGCAGCCCAAATACCTGGCTCTTGCATGGATTTTCTTCCTCTCCAATATTTGGCTCAATAATGTTTCACTAGTCTGTTAGCTCTCTAATGCTTTTATAATTTTTTTTCTAATGTTCTATCCATCTTTCTAGTCTTTCTCAGGGGTAGAGAGTGGTAGAGTAGAGCAGTGTGTGATCTGAATCATCAAGATCATCATTACCAGAAGCCAAAGCTGCCTTAGAATTTTAATTTTAGTTTCACTTGATTGGGGATTTTAGTTAAGGTTATTTAGTTCTAGTTATTTAATGTAATAGTAATGCGATATGCTATGTACTATTTCTACATGTCAAATGTACTAAGGGATTTTCATGGGCTAAAATCTGATCACTTTTGTATGGGCATCATGGTATGGTATCAAGCTTAGGTTGATAAAAACGAGTTGGTGAGCTTCTATTTTTCACATGTTGTAAAACATTTGAAATTACAAGTGGGAATATCTTTCCTTGGACGTGTGATAGGTCTTACCTATGAATTTTTTTTTCGGTTCTTAGAAATTTCTTGGACTATCTTTCTATATCTTCTAGAATGAATATTGATAATTTAACTTATATCTAGATTTTCAAAACGTTTGACATATAGTAGTCTATCATTTCATAGATATTCTTATACATAAGTAACTATATTCCAAATTCATTTCTTACTGCAGGCTATATATTTGTGTTCCCTATTTTCTCTTACAAGGAACTCTGGTGGTGTAATGGCTAAGGCATTCAGCTGCTAACCTAAATGTCATGGTTCAAACCCACCAGCTTCTCTGTAGGAGAAAGATGAGGTAGTCAGCTTTCATAAAGATTTAGAGCCTTGGAAAGCCTATGGGGTCGCTATGTGTCAGAATCAATTCGATGGCAGTGGGTTTGGTTTGGGTGGTATTTTCTCTTATAGCTTTTCCTTTAGCATAGGCTTCTTCTATTTTAAGGAGCTCTGGTGGCATAGTGGAGAAAGCATTTGACTGCTAACCAGAAGGTCAGCAGTTCAAACCCACTAGCTGCTCTGCAAAGGGAAGATGGGACAATCTACTTCTGTAAAGATTTACAGCCTCAGAAACCCAATGGGGGTCACTATGAATATGAATTGACTCAATGGCAGTGAGTTTAGGGGTTTTTTCTTGTTTTCTTCTATTTTATTTTTCAAAATGCTATACTCAGTTAATAACAAAAGTGAAAATTAAAAAATCAAATAGAAAAGAGTAGGGGAAAACTGTGTCAACAATGATAATAAAGAGCTATTTAAAGTGAAAGAAACATGGATCGTATTAATACATGTGTGTTTTACAGGAAATATACAAGCAGGAAAGGTATAACACTGCCATTATGCCCACTTAAATTACAACTTTATAATTAAAGTTATAATTAAATTACAACTTTATAAAAACTTATTTGCATGTTAGCAAAGAATAAAAGTAAATAATGAATATGAACATAGTTATAGTTTAGTGATTCATTGGTATCTTTTCACTTGTCATTTAAATTCACTATTATTTAACAGTTATTTAATTAATTCCCCAGGTATTCTCTGTGAGCCACCCCCAGCCATACCCTATGGATACTTCTCTAGCAGTGAAAAAGAATACTTTCAATATGGAATGGTGGTGAGCTACTACTGCAATAACCAGAGAGGGTCAAAGCTGTTTAAACTCGTAGGCAAGCAAACAATATATTGTACCAGCAAAGACAATCGAATTGGTGTCTGGAGTAGCCCTCCTCCTCAGTGTATTCCACCTCCTAATACATGCACACCTCCAGATATTGAAAATGGAATAAGGCTATCAGTGGCTAGAAGCTTGTTTTCCTTATATGAGACTGTAAGGTTCGCATGTCAGCCCGGCTTTGTGATGAAAGGACACAACAATGTGCAATGCCAGACCCAAAATAAATGGACACCAGAGTTGCCAAGCTGTTCCAAGGGTGAGTCTGACTGGGACTTTGAAGGGATTTACAAATGGCATGAGGTGCTGGAAGATCAGGAGCTTAGTGTTGGTTCTAGGGGAAGGATGTGTGGTGGGCAGTGTGGGTAATTAAATTCTCTTGGAATGGAATGTGAAATTATGAAAGGATGTTTATGTGTGTATGTGTATGTAGTTTTTGTGTGTGAGAATGTGCACTGTGTGTGCATACCTTTATTTTGAGAAACAAAAGCTCAGGGCAAAATACCAGCTCCACTATCTCAATTTTATCAAAGAGTGATATGGACTTTGTCCATGTTCAGCCATGTGATAATCACCTTATATGCATTAGCTCATTTACTTTTTACAACAACCCTTTGAAATAGTGTTATTCTTACCTCCTTTTGACAGGGAAATTTGCTTGGTCTTTTAGAGGTTAAATAAATTAGACAAGTCACATGGTACTAAGTTGCATACCCAGCAATAGAAGGCAAGTGTAGACCCCAGAGCCTGAATGCTGTGGTTTTTGTTCTACTTCTGTTGGCATCTATAAGTGAAGGGGAGCAGTTTACTTACAGGCCATAAGAACAGGTATCACAGCATGAGAACTGTGACAAAAGCTCTTGATTTTGTCTACTCTGATCTACTGCCTACATTTTATAATCAGGAATCTAAAGTCAAGAGTAAAAGTAATTTGCTCAAAGCCAAACAAGAAATATGTTTCTTTCATCTTTAATTAGCTATAGACTAAGTTGAAGTTCAAATGAATTCTGATCTCCATGGAGGCAGCCAGAAATTGTATGAAATATTCTATAAGCAATATGCCCTCTCATTATAAGCACTGGCTTTTTTTTAGGAGATTTGGTTCTCAATGGCTTTTCTTATCTTCTTATTCTATAATTGCAGGCTTAGCCATGCATTGGGAATTGTTATAAATAGGGACAGGGAAATAGCTTAAAGTTCTTCAACAACCCATGTAAGCTTTGTGTACCACTGAAAGAGCAACAGGGAGGGCAAACAGGTAAAAATGACATCACAAAAGAACGGTAAGAGAGATGCAAGGAAATATGTTAGACCTGGAAGATCTTCTCATGTCCTGAAAAGACACAGTTGTCAACTTAGGTTGCCCTTTTAGGAAATTTGTTGGTGGGGAAGCCTACCCATACTAATACTATACAGGATAAACAGCACTAGAAGAAGGGCCCTTGTGCCTTATAGACTGTGAATGTATTTTAGACCTTGTACTGGGAGAAATGGATTCTATTTCTCTGTTTCTTACCAGTTGGGAGGTCCTTAGCTATATCTCCTCCTTATTCTTTACTTCCACATCAGTAAAATGAGAGATTTGGAGTCATTTGGCTTCCTTTTTTACATTTGAGCCTCTTTAATTATGATTCTCTAAGGATTTAGTAAAAGATATTTTCCCATAACTAATAGGAGCCCCTGGTAACACAGTGCCTAAGGCACTTGACTGCTAACCAGAAGGCTTGCGGTTCAAACCCACCAGCCACTCCTCGGAAGGAAGATGGGGCAATATACTTCTGTAGTGATACTGCCTCGGAAACCCAAGGAGGGGTCGCTGTGAGTCAGGGTCGACTCAATGGCACATAACAACAACAACAACAATGGGTACTTTAGTAGTCCATGGGGGGGGGGGTTGGTGAACATGGTTAAGAGTGGGGTACTGACTGAAAGGTTGTTAGTTCAAACCCACCTACAGGTGCCTCGGAAGAAAGACCTGGTGATCTGCTTCCAAAAGGTCACAGCCATGAAAACCCTATGGAGCAGAATTTTACTTTGAAACACATGGGGTTGCATGAGTTGAAATCAACTCCACATCAACTTTTTATTTTTCAATGGGTGCTTTGTACCTGTTCTTCCCACAGTGTGTCAGCCCCCTCCAGAAGTCCTACATGGTAAGCATAGTCCAGGTAACAAGGTCAACTTTTCCTCTGGGGAAGACGTGTTCTACAGCTGTGAGCCTGGCTATGATCTCAGAGGAGCTGCTTCTCTGCGTTGTACACCCCAGGGAGACTGGAGCCCTGCAGCCCCCAGATGCGAAGGTACCTACACTCTCATTTGACATTGTTAGCTTATGTCTTTCTCCTTCATGTGCCAACATTATTTCTTTTTTTTCTCCACCCTCAGTGAAATCATGTGATGACTTCCTAGACCAACTCCCTAATGGCCGGGTACTCTCTCCCCCTAGTCTCCAGCTTGGAGCAAAAGTGTCCTTCGTTTGTGATGAGGGGTGAGTTTGAGTTTGCCTGACCTGGAATAAAGACCAGGGGCTGAATGATGGATACTGACACCCAAGGCAATAGTGTTTGTCCAAAAAGTGGGGCTGGTGGTAGAAAAGAAGTACTAAAAGATACTCTCAAAGGATGATTGGGAAGTATAGTAAGAACCAGATGGAACCATTAACAGCAAATGTTATAAAGGGCAAACTGATAAATACACTGAACAGCAGAAATACAGCAAGAGATGTATAGGTGAAACATTAAGAGTATGGATAAATATGAAGAGGTAAGTATTCTACAAGGGTTGTTAAAAAAAGTTTAATATAAAAGAGAAAATTGTTAATAAGATAAATAATGTGCACAAATCGTTTCTGGAAACTTTTAAGCCAGTGAATAATATAATCTGTAATAGAAATAAAAAAGTAAGTATAAGAATTTTTTAATCCAGTTATATATCATCTAATGTATTGGGCTATAGTAATGGAGCAAGGTGACTACCGTTAATGTTCCAAGTAAGAGCTTTAACTCTTTCTGTGAATAAAAATGCTCTTGGGATTATGTTCCAGCTCCACGTGGTGGGTAAAAAGCACAGACAATAAAGCAATTATTCTTGGGATATTCCAAGGACGCTTGACAGATTCCAGCCACCCAATAAGGACCAAGAGAGAGTTCAGGATGCCATTGGTCTGACAATAAACTGTACACTCTAGGAGGCTTTCTTCCAAAGGGCCTTCTCTTCCTACCTTCTTTCTTTTAAATATTTTGGCTCTACCTTTTAATTATCTAGTGTGATGCCATAAGTTTCATTCAGGAATATTCCAAACATAGTGGCAAGAACAGACTCTGATATATGTTCTAATGATCTCTGCTTTGCATACTTAAACCAGAAGGTATTTCCCCTTTATGTACTGTCTAAGACAGTGAAATGCTGAGTTCTGCATTAATGGAGAAAGTTCTTACTAATAATTACAAGGGAGCAGTCAGGGAAAGATGACCTCCTGAAGGTATAGGACCAGTCAAGGAAACATCTGTCTGTCCCTTTGTCAGTTCAGGCTAGGTTTATGATGCCCATCTGACTACTTAGTTTTGACCATCATTATTGCCTTGTCCCTTACTGGAAGCTGTATTTTTCTGAAAACATTTGGTTCATAAGCCTCTATCAGTTGAGAAACCAAATGAGTTGAGCTTTTTCACTTGGGCCTTAACTTAGGAATTAAATTTTATTTTAGCAGAAGGAATGAAGCTGAGATCTGCAGATAAAGGGAAAAGAGAAATGGTGTGCTCACCCATTTACTGTTGCTTTTATATTTTAGATTCCGTTTAAAGGGGAGTTCTGTTAGTCATTGTGTCTTGATTGGAATGAAAAGCCTTTGGAATAACAGTGTTCCTGTATGTGAACGTGAGTATAAGGAATACATGTTCAAGTCTGCATCTTTCTCCTTTTTTTTTCTTCTATTTCTTAATGTGTGTGGCCCGTGATATTATCTTCCCCTCCCATTTCTGATAGAAATAATTATTTGTTGGAAGAATTACAAAGAATTTTTTTTAGGAGAAATCAACTTGAACATCATGTATCCTTGGCACCATTCTATAAATGTGTACAGGCATGTTGTTGTTGTTGTTATGTGCCGTCGAGCCGGACCCGACTCATAGCGACCCCTCCTTGGGTTTCCAAGGCAGTATCACTATGGAAGTAGATTGCCCCATCTTCCTTCTGAGGAGTGGCTGGTGGGTTTGAACTGCCAGCCTTCTGGTTAGCAGTCAAGTGCCTTAGGCACTATGCTACCAGAGCTCTTTAAATGAGGAGATATGTTTCATAGATGGAGAAGAATTTATGGCATGATGCTTTGCCAAATTTTTCCTTTTCGTCATCAAAAAGTAATAGTGTCTTCGCCTTTTCTGTCCTTTCCTCAACCATCCATTTATCCATGTACTTATTCTTTCAAGACATTTCTTAAGCACTTACCCATGTGCTCTAGACACTGGGATTACACCTGTAAACAAGACAGACTAGATCCCTGCTCCCATGTTATTCAGATCCTTATACAGGTAGAAAAATCAAACACATATAAATAAGCAAACAATCAAAACTAAACTCACTGCTACGGAGTTGGATCCGACTCTTAGTGACCCCTTCTTGGGTTTCCAAGGTGGTATCACTACAGAAGTAGATTGCCCAACCTTCCTTCAGAGGAGTGGCTAGTGGGTTTGAATCACCAGCCTTCTGGTTAGCAATCAAGTGCCTTAGGCACTATGCCACTAGAGCTCAAACAAACAATGTTGTTGTTATTATGTGCCGTCGAGTCGGACTCGACTCATAGAGATCCCTCCTTGGGTTTCTGAGGTGGTATCACTATGGAAGTAGAGTGCCCAACCTTCCTTCCGAAGAGTGGCTGGTGGGTTTGAACCACCAGCCTTCTGGTTAGCAGTCAAGTGCCTTAGGCACTACTCCTAAACAAACAATAGGCAATTTAAAATAATACTAAGTTATTTGAGGAAACACACACACAGAGGGTAGTACAATAAAATGGCTATGTGAATAAAGTTTCCTTTTTAAATAAGATGATCAAAGAAGTCCTAGCTGAGAAAGCACTGATGAAAATTAGTTAACTATTAATGTGCATATATAGAAGAAGCGTTTTCTATGCAGGAAAAACAGAAAGTTAACCACCCTGAGGCAAAAATTTCCTGACATTTTCTATGAAGAGCCTGTTCCTGACTTTTTCTGAGAAGCCAATATGACCAGAACTGAGTAAGCAAATATAATAGTAGGAGATGACAAAACAGTAGTAACCCTACACCCTGCAGGAACTTAAAGTTTCACTGTAAGGTATGTTAAAAAACACTATAAAAAAAGGAACTAACACGATCTAACTTTAAAAAAAAAAAAAAAAAGCTGGTATCATTCCAGCTAATGCAGGGAGATCTGGGTTGAAAAGGAACATATCTTACCTCGAGAATCCCCAGAAAACAGTACCAGAAGCAAAGCTGAAATTACAAGTTTAATTGGAACATGGAATTCTGGGGCAGCAAGAGTGCAGGAGAATAAAAAGTAAGGTGGAGAGGAAAGGAAAGTAAATAAATGTTTGTTCACATAGGCTAACCTGGAGAGGTCCTATAGAATCTGAATATTCATTGTTGTTGTTGTTGTTGTTATGTGCCCTCGAGTCAGACCTGACTCATAGAAACCCTTCCTTGGGTTGCCGAGGCAGTATCACTACGGAAGTAGATTGCCCAACCTTCCTTCCGAGGAGTGGCGGTGGGTTTGAACCGCCAGCCTTCTGGTTAGCAGTCAAGTGCCTTAGGCACTATGCTACCAGAGCTTGCTCGCTCTCTCTCTCTCTCTCTCTCTCTCTTTGTGATTTGGGTGAAAGTTTACAGAGCAAATGCACTTTCCATACAGCAGCTCACATATACCTTGTCTCATGATGTTGACTACAATTTCTCACATACAGCAGCTCTCCCCCACTTCCTCCGCATAGTTACCTCTCCCTGTGTCCTTACTTCCCAAGCACTCCCACCCCCTGAGCTATCTCCCTGTGCATACACAGCCCTTCTATTCTCTCATGATTGTTCTCTCCAAGAACTGTGTCTACCTAATGTAAATGTTAAGCTCATATGCCTGACTTTTGTTTGGCTGGAAGCCACAGGAATGGGTTCAATTCCAGACCTGACGGACAACTAGGGGCCATAGTCTCAGTGGTTCCACCAGGCTCTATCAGACCAGCAAAACAGATCCCCCCCCCCTTTTTTTT